GGGGAGGATGAAAGCACCCACCAACTAGAAATGAGGAGACAAAGGGTGGTCTGAGTACATCAAACACAGATGGGGGAGGATGAAAGCACACACATTCTAGAAATGAGGAGACAAAGGGTGGTCTGAGTACATCAAACACAGATGGGGGAGGATGAAAGCACACACGGTCTAGAAATGAGGAGGCAAAGGGTGGTCTGAGTATGGTGGATAAGGATGCATTATAAAGAATGCACCCACTTCCTGGCCATGAGGAAACAAAGGGGGATGTGAGTATCATCAACACAGATGCATGAGGACAAAAGCACACACCAACTAGAGACAAAGACATGACAGACAAGATTGTATGTGGAAGAGGCAGGTGTTTAAGACAAGGATGCAAAGGAAAAAATGAATCATTAGGCCAATAGTGTGAGGTTTGCCATGCCACTGCCAACTGCATACCTTTATTTTCACCAACATCTCACTCATCAGCACCAACTTTTGCTCATCTGTCTTTTGCTGCCATTCAAGTCATCAGTCATGTGTCTCTCTCCCTGCTTCTGCCTCACCTTCAGCAGCTTCCACCCAGTGTTGGCCACAGACCGAAACATGTCTGCCCAATACCCTTTTCTTATCCACACACCAACAACCCTCTCATTCACCATTTCACCCAGCAGTTTCCACATCATCTTATCATCGCATCTCACCCCAGCTTCCCGCAAGTGTTTATGCCAATAGAAAACAGCATACTCATTGCCATTATCACCCTGGCTCCCTGCTTTCACAATATTGTCTAAGCAGCTCCTTGCAACCTTGAAGTGTGCATCCCCAGTCAGGATCCGGAATCCAAGCGGTGCACGCTCACTTGTGATATAATCACGAAAAGATTTGTGCATCTGTGGCGTAGCATGATCAAACGACGTCGTGGTGCCCGGAATCAAAACGCTGCGCATCTGCCGAAGGAAGTTGGCGACGTCAAACTTGTCCTTGGGTATATCAGAAAGTAGTGCAATGATTTTATGAACGAGCAATGGTTTTTTAAGCACGATGATGGTTCCTATAACGTGCTGAAAGCCATCTAGTCGAGTAGCACGTCTGTCCTTGTCTTTTGAAGGCATGCCGACGTTCTCCCATGATGTCAAGATGAGTCTGTACAGATCTTCAAGCTCGTTGAGGCCCTCCTCGCTGAACTCCTTGAACACGCTCTCTCGACACGCCGTTCCATCCTCGAAAATCCGCCGTTCAATCCAGTGAAGAGCGGTTGCGGCATAGTGGAAGAGACCGTTTGCTTTGTCGGATAGCATCCACATTTGGTTGTTGTCTGGCCAATCATGCCAATCCGGCTCATCTGGTGTAATTTCCTTCATCCTAGCAACAATGAAATTGTGCACTTCATTGACAGATGACTCTGTCTCCAGGGGATACTGCTTGAACACCGCGTGTTTGAGCTTTTTGGACTTGGAGATGTCTGCCCAGTGCTCTGGACGCGAGGTGATGATGAATCTGATGTTGTTTGGAAGGTCACAGTCAATGGCAGGAGCAATGTGGGAAAGGATCTCGATGACGCTCCTAGCCGCATCGTTCAACTCGTCCAGGGCATCAATGAGAATGACGACCACGTCGCGTGACTTAGAGAGTTCCCGGATGGGGTCTAACAGAAGAGAAGTGACTTGCTTGTCCGGCGCCGCAGGATACCCGTTCTTCAGGGCCTTCTCAAGAACGCGAGCGGCTGTTGGAAAGGAAGCAAGCTGCTGCGCGATAGTGGGTATGATTTTGTTTGAATCGATCGTTTCGGGGATGTTTCGAGAGATAAAGAATTGAGCAGAGACGGGAGTGTCGTTCTCACGAAGATTCTCAACAATGGTAGCAGAAAGTGTTGATTTGCCACTGCCTGGAATACCCGTGACCCAGAAGATACGCTCAGCGTTAGAAGGCTCCGGTAATAGCCATTGCTCTATATATTCGAGGAGTTCCAAACGAGTGCCTTTGGCGCAAAGACTCTTGCTCTGATCTGTATGTTCGTACTTTGCAGCAATATGGCTGGCGAGCTTCTTTTCGATGGAGGCCTTGGGTGGAATCAATAAGCGGCATCCTTGATCAGCAACAAGCAAACGTACCAAACGACCGTCAATCTCCTGTTTCACCCGAATTTTTGTGACGGCTATTGCCTGGAAGGAACCAATTCAGAAACTGTCACACACCGGCAAATGTCGCCGTACCAGGAATTTCTCTTTCGCGCTCGTGAACTTTGACTCCCAGTCCCCCAAATCATCTTCTAACGACTTCTTCGACTGCCCGAGTTCAAAATCAATGATTGGACAAAAGAAAGATAAACCTACAACACGCTCCTTTGCCCATCGGCAAATCTCGTTCACCGCCGCACTAACCATGCGTAAGCATTGTAGATATCAGGGAAGATTCAGCGAAACTCACCAAATCGTCTTGAGATCTTCTTTTACCGACGGCTCCTCATCGGCAACCACGACAAGTGTGCTAATGTACTCAATCGCTTCCTTCGCAAATTCAGATACTTTATTTTGAGTAAGCGGGATATTCTGATTGAATGGGTCAGCGGGATGAAATGAGCCTGACAAAATGGCGTACGATACCGAGCTCAACCAGATTGAGCAATGCTTCAACAAGGGTTTTCGCAGGGAAAGGGCTGTCGGGTATGAAGGCTTTGAGCGTATCGAGAGTCTTTGATTTCAACGACCGATCGATAAGTCCCGCAAGTTTTGACCATTTGGAATTCTCGCGATCACCTCCCCATTTATGGAGCTGAGAAATAGCGTCGCCGTCGATGTTCCAAGCTTTCCACTCAATCGTAGGATTCATCTGTGTGCTGTGAGTCGATGTCGCAAAGTCAGAACGGATAATCGCACCTCCGTCTTCTTGTCGTTATCTGGTTTAGACTGTGCATCCGCTGTATGTTTGCCTGTTCAAGCAATGTTCGTGGATCGCTGGAAGCTGTTGAGTTGGAGACACTCACTGATCGCGGCTATGTTTCCCTCCGATGAACCACCACCATCGATACGTACGTTTGTAATCTCTGGGTTGGACCGCGACCTAGCTGGATATCGGTTTCGATCAATGCTAGCTAGCAATCGAGACGAAGACGCTTACCAATGCCTGCGCCACCTCCAGGAGTTGCGGTTCCGGAAGGCTGGGGTGAGGGCGCTCGACTCAAACTTTTGAACATTTGTTTGAGTCCGCCCTTCAGCTTGTCGAGCTTTCTCTGGACTGTCTGGTTCGGCATGGTCGTAGGAAGCAACTTGCGTGTAGGTAGAAACAACGTGTGGGTAGAAACAACTGTAGAAGTGTCCTGATATGGTCACAATGGTGTGAACCAAGTGTGATGGCTAAACTGGTGCAGCTCTTCGTCTCTCCAATCCCAGGGAAATTCAAGCGATTTGTTGCGACCCATGTCTTTGAAGCCTGCAGTCCAGGTAATTGGTACGTTTCTTGGGCCATCCTTGGGCCATCCCCTTCTTTCTTCGCTTCTACCAACCCCAGCGTAATCCACAAATCCTACCCAACCACATACGTGGTGCTCTGTCCCAATCGAAGGTAAGACCAACAAACCTCTCTGTCAACCTCCCCCCGTTAAAGTCAAGGCTCCCCCGCCCAAAGCACCTACTTCGTCGTTGGGTCGTCTACGTTGGTCGACACAAAGAATGGACCGCCACTTATGGGTGGGTGTGAATGCGGGTGTGAAGGCTCCCCCTGGATTTGAATGTGAGTTTTTTTCCTTTCGCATCTTGGGTTTTAAGAAATGCAATTGGGAGCTGATGGTGCTACGTAGGGGATAAACCAATCATGACGAACAATAACAGCAAGCCAACGACACCCAGTGCGATTTCTTCCACTACGTGCAGTGGCGGCGGGGAAAGAATGCGAGTGTGTGCCCTTCCGGGTGGTAAACCCAACACGTCGCTCAGTGCCGCTTGGCAACCCAACTCGCCTTGAGGTCCTACTATTGCGCCAAGGCCTGATAATGTTTGGGAGTTTTCTGTCTCCTGTTCTCAAACTTGCTTGGTTCTAACGAGGTACCGTCAACTTTGAAGGGGTCAAACAAAGTCCTGGCAAGCCGAACACACCCTCTACTCCGGACCCAATACACCACCCCCACTCCCACCAGTGTCACCGTCACGCCTGACGACTCCGGATGGTCCCCAACCCTCAACTACTTCCACTCCAACCGACACCAAAGCCAACCCAATCGAACGCCGACGTCATGATCTTCCTCTCCCCAAGTCAAGAAAGCGCCTATACGCTCTACTTCTATCGAGAATGAGGACGACCTACAGAGTTGGAGATGCAGTTGGCGTACGTCGTGCGGTGGGAGAAGACTGCCATCGCGGCTTCCAGTGGGGAAGGCCAAGGACAAGCGGCCAGGGGCAAGAAGAGCAAGCCAACGATGGACGGACGAACCACCCCGACCCTACAGGCGGCCAACTGATGTGTCCCTGCCATGGGAACTTGAAGCTGTGTAAGAAGGGGATATGTTCTGGGATGTCGAGAGTTATGAGGGAGGAAGAGAGGAAGAAGAGGGAGGTTTGAAAAAGGGGGGAGGTGGTGGGTTCTGTTTGACTTTTGGCCTCTTGGTTCAATGCTTACTCGCGTCTTCAGCTCTCCGTGGTTCCGTTAAAACTCGTTATATACTGCCTACATGCTATTTCGGCCCCATTGGGCCCAGTAGCTGTATGAACCGAAGTGTGAGACGGGGGGAGGACAGTTATGTCGCTACATGCTTTCACCTCCATCCAATACTAGGCAACTTCGCCATCCCAAGGCGGAGATACCGAGCCAAACTGCCCTTCGTACAAATCTTCTGGCCTGCCGCTTCGATTTAATGCAGGTTGGGATGATTCATGAACCGCGTGCTCGTTCATCTTGATGTCTCACAGGTCGAGCCAACGTCATCTGTGCGAATAACAGCAGTCTCAATGATGCAACCAAAACAATATTTATTCTAGTTACTTATGTCTCAGAAACATTTGTAAATGATAAGAACTTCAAATTTAATCCACTGTTGTCCACAGGAAACGACAATGTCGCTGATGCTCAAGGGGGAGGCTCATCACCACGACGTCCTTCCGCCCAGCGACGGGGCAACCCTGAAGCTCAGCAGCCTTCTGCATGACTTCCTCATGCGCAGCTGTCGAAATCATAAGTTCAGTAACTGTCTGGAGCAGAGGAGCGAAGAGGAGACGCACAATCTTCAAATTTGAAAGGGCCCTACCCGGATAAGAGAGGATTTAGCAAGGAAGCCACAAAGGCGAAACGAACGCACCATTTCCTCTAAACGATAGCCTGAGCTCTTCAAGCTACACATTACCATGAGCTACACCCACTCAAGAAACAAAGCAAAGACCTACTGAGGCCCTGGCATCTCGCTATACCAGCCAATGGCCACCAGAAACTTATTTTGGAGGTAACCCAAACCGGTGCTCTCGGGTCTGTACCAAGGACGATATTGCCATCTATCGGGATAGTCAGCAGCCACCTTTACAACAACAAGAAATCGACCTCACTTGTTTGGATGCAGCTTTGGACACCTCTCCCCGGTTGGCTTGGGTAGATCAATCTTAACTGGAAAAGAGGGGTATATCCTGGGAAGGAGGAACCAGCGTTGTGCAGTCCAGTTCATCGCCATGACGCCACGCGTTAATGCGTGGAAGAACCATGGCTGAGCAGGTTGCCTGTGGCGGTGAGGAGAGTATTGAACAGGCGGACGTCAGGCAGTCTAAGGGGATACGTACATCATCCCAACCCTCACCCTATCTTCAAGCAAACAAAGCGCCACCCTTGTGACAGCGAAACTCCGGAGGCCGAAACGTGTCGGAACAGCGGAGAGAAGCTCCGCCATGGTATACTCTGCGACCTCTTTATTAGTCTCAGCTGGAATCATATTCTTCACCTCGTAGTCCTGCAGAGGAGAATGAGATACACAATAGGATATCAAGGCTAAAAGACGACACACCCGACTCCATTCTATCATTTCTTCGCGAGACTCGGGGATATCTCGCATATTCATCCGTCTCCCTATTTCAGCCCAGAAGACGTAAAACGCCTCACACTCCATTGGGGAGAGCTTCCGCCATCCATAACGCTCTGCCCATCGCTAGATAAGCAGACAGATGATGAATCAGATGCGGCCATTACGCCACCCTTGCCAAACAATCTCTCACCGGAGGTTCTAAAGCGAACAAGCACAACGTATTCAAAAAATCGTCGTTTGACTACAAACAACGGAAGTCATAAGTCTTGACGAAACGAAGAAGAAGACAACCCACAATTCTGTACCGGGAGTGTATCCAGTTGACTCTCGCAAGAGCAATCATAGCCCTCGGGTCGTCTGCGGGCGGTCCATTCTCTGATGACTTGAAATTGGGGTCCAGAAAGCCAGAAATCGGGCAGGCCACCCAGGTAGCTATATATGAAAGATGAGGGAGTAACCTGAAGAGTGACGTACTAGTTAACATGAACCAATCAGAATCTCAGTCTGCAAGTCCCAAAAGTAGCTATTCAGCAACTTGAGACACGGAAAAGCAGATAGAAAGACACACATCCGCATAACGTTTCGAAACCGTCTCTGCCGACTTAAATTCACCAGTCACGGACAACAACTTTGATATCGATGGCTGACAGTGACGCCATCGTCAGCGCCCGCAAATGGAGTGAAAAAGTCGTCCTCACAATCGCATAGGTCTTGAACAAGGCGAATGCCAGCGAATAGTTCAGCAGCAATGGCATGTCATAGCTAGTTGATACCAGAATAATGCGTTGGGCCTCTTCCGGGGTGAGCGTTCCATCTTGATATTTCTTCATGTATTCCCGGTGGATGGCGTTGTATCTTCGCCAGCGCAAGAGACGGGTCAGGGCGAGATACCCGAGAACACCGATGATTGTGCCCTCGATGACGGTGGGGTAGCGTGCATGGTGTCTAAGATTTTTCAAAAAGTGAAGGAGGTCGATTATAAACCCAGGGGGAGTGAGGTTGTAGTCTCTTATACAGACCTTAGTATTACAAATGATAATCGATTTGTAAGGTAGAGGACATCCACTTCCTTCCAACGTCACGTGCGGTTACTTTGTTGTGACATCCTCATCTAAATCGGGAACTACACCTCGAGAAAATAAGAGAAATGAGAATTAGATATTACTCACCCACAAATCACAAAATCGAAGACCATAGAATCGTTTAAAACTAGATTAAGCATTTATATACAAAAGTAAAAATTTTAAGAGTAAGAACTAGGTCTAATCCCCCAGAAATACGAAATTATGTACAGTAACATGGCAGGAATTGATGAAATGGAAAGGCAAACAGTCCAGTAGATGCTCTGGATAGAGCAAATTTAATGGATCTTTGCTTTTTCCATGTCATCCATAAGTGTTTGTGGGAGAACACGGTGTCCTCGATATTTGTGCGCTGCCCAAGCAGCTTGACGGCCGTTGAGGCCCTTTTCATAGGCATCCATAAAGCGGTCAGCTCGCGTGGCGAACCTCCAACAATATCACATTAATGCAAACGAATTTAGGTAGAACTTACTGATGCATTGAAAGGAGAGGGACAGGATTCCGCAAGACGTGCCGCAGAATACAGCTGCATGGCAGTATTTCTGGGCGATCACGCTAAATATTCAATTTTCTCCTGATTTCTTTATTTCTACAACATTACAACTACTTTTGGAGCAATTCTATGGAAACCGATTGTCCTGAAAAGTTTTTGTTATTATATGAGGAATTTATTGTAGAAATGTAGACGCTTTTGGAATTGTCACGCTCATCACGTGACGTTGGAAGGAAGTGGATGTCCTCTACCTTAATGATATAAGGTCTGTTCCGTTTTGCGGAGCCTTTGGTGGCTGGGTTCCTTCGGTCATCTCGGTAAAAGAATGAAGCCCTTTTCAGCATCACGTGTGTATTGCAGCAATAATGTCTACTCATATGTTGGATCGATAGGACTACATAAACATCGCTCTGCAATTGAAAATGGACCCAAAAACTCTGATTAGGTCTAGAGGTTGCATTCAGGACGAATTATTTGCCTGGGAAGTTGTTCACTGACAGCGACAAGCGGTGTGAGATGGAAGACAATCATGATGATGAAAAGCCGATCTGTAGTGGTAAGCCTGTCTCAAAGTCCTTGCCCCAAGGAACGAGAATGTGTAATATCTCATACAAGGCGGGATTTTGTCGAGAAGATTCGTTCCGGACAATCGTTGGATAATCAAGTCGAGTTCAGCAGGTCGTGGTCCAATTTTCCACTGTGGGATACATTCAAGGATCTCGCGAATAGTTGTCCAGCCTCTGAGCGATGTCCATGAGAATTTGTCGGGTGGGTGAGTGTACAAGTCCATTGATGACAATGAATCAGAACATACACCAAGCGCGTACATACACGTGATGAGGAAAACGAAAGCCGATCGGTTTTCTACGCTCCGGAACACCAAAGGAACCCAGCCTGCCAACCGGCTCCAAAACGAACAAGCCTAGTGAGGTTGTGGAACTCAACCATGTCAAGGACTCAAGGACTTGAGGGTGAAATTGAACGAGCGATATGTCAATTTGATGTCAATTTGATCTCAACGATATTTTCGGCTCGAGCCTCGAGGCTCGGGACTTATCCACTTTCGGTCTAACAAAGTCTTACCCGATCAGGGGCGTAGAAGTTGAATGAAAGGATCTTGGCAAGTCCTTGCAGCTGTCTTACAAACCGTTTGAACCGTTTTTGCAGGTCGAGTCATCGGTCAACAGAAAACACACTGGTATTGTAGAAGTAAGCGAAAGTACACGCCAGTTTGTGAAACAGCTTTACACCTCGGTACTTTAATTTAAGAAAAAACACAAGCGCTCATCGAATACTGGTGGTGGAATAAATGAGAGGCCGGCAGACGAGGCGGACCTTCCTAATCGAAGTCTTAACTGAGATGCTTCGAGGGAAGGGCGACGTCGCACTTGTGTGGGTTTCCAGGCAGGTGTAGAATGCAGGAAGGAAGGCAATGCCCGATGTCAGATGATAGACTGCCCGCGTATGGGAGCTGACAACTCTAGCGAACAAAAAGCTTTTTCGCTCTCAAAGGTCAAGCAGCGCCAACTCGACCAGTTTCTTGTTGATAGGCCCTATAAGCTTCACGAAGGTGATCCGGCGATAGGGGCCCAGTCTCGCCACGACGCATTTGAATCTCTTGCGCTGTATACAAAGAATTGAGTAGTTGAAAAATAGACGCAAGTGACAAGAAAACCCGCGGTAAGCCCTGGGGCCTTTCTGCTGATGGATAAACAACGATCAGAAGAATACTTACCTTGCTCAACGATCTCACCCACAAAAACCTTGGAAAAACCAGCTATGATTTGGGCGACAGGCTGGGAGGCTTGATACCCCAAAGTTTGCTGGATAACCTAAAAAAGAGATTAGATCATAAGGATCATCCAGATTGAATCCTACCTTTCGGACGGCTTGCTTTGGCAAGGCATGCCTCCTATACAACTCGAAACGATCGTACTGACTAGGACTGAAGTTGTCTATCAGAACTCTACAGCCAGTTGTTAACTAAGTATATCAATACGAGTCTAAAGAAAGGACGCACTTTAAGTTGCCTTTAGACTGACTCTGTCATGATAGCTGAGCGGAGTAGTCGTCGTCTGTTATTGTAGGTAGTAGCTCGTCGTCTCCTTCCTTGTCTTCCTCAGCAGGGGCTTGACCAGGACATGTACTAGCAAGTGCTGGTACTCCGGACAAAATAGAAGCACCGTGGAAGCTGATGAGTTTGGACATATGCAACAATGGAGCGCCTGTTGGCTGTGAGCTGGTTCTGATGGCTGCTGCCGACGATGTGCCATCGCGGAGCTGCTGACCACCGCTTCCCGCCGCGCCTCCAACCGCCGAAGGCTGTCCAGGGCTAGCTAGAACGCCACCTTAAGGTATAGTGCCACCAGCTACCTCTGCCTCTGTCAAGAATTTCACTTGAGTTCCCCTGATGACAAGGCCAGCCGCAGTAGCCGCTTCCCACATCCGGTGTTGGTGCCTGCCTTCCCACCCATTAGGCGTCGTTAACACCACATCCATGTTGCGGTATAATGAATTCCAAAGCGATTCCCCGTTCCCATGTGAGCTGGTGACATGCACTTGCAGCTGGCCTTTTACATACTCGAGGAAATCAGCAAAAATATCATTAACTGTTCGAGAAGGTGGTAACTCGGGGATCTCAATCTCAATTCCGTTAATCTTTGGGAGGTAGTCAGGCCGGAGGTAGAGTTTCCACCTATTCTTACATTCAGTATTGTTAGAATACATTGGACTGGATACGCGTACCATTCAGCTTTTATCCAGCCCTTTTCATCCGCTTCAGCCTTCGTATCCTGTGCAACAATTCAGTTTAGAAGCGTAGGATCATCGTTAAGAATTTCTAACGCACGGGACTGTCGGTCTCGGCACCGAGACAACGTGGTTTCCCTGAACTATCGTAGTAGACCAATGATGGTATGGCAACAGGGATCAGCCAGCTTCAAAATCACGGCTAACACCGATATTTGTACACTGCCGATTGATATGCCGAAATTAATTATTGTATATGTAACATAATATTGTTTAAAATCATCAAATATTTCGTATTTGTCAGATCCAACACGCCAATTCATCCTACAGCCTTACAACGCGCGCCTCTCATCTCTCAGAGCTCACTGCCATTCTGTCTCCCAACAAGAAGGTTTGCGTGACGTCACGTCGCTCCATATACACTGACCACTCTTCATGCGTCACGCGTCACGTCGCAGCAGGTCTAATTGGGTTCTCACTCGACTCATCAACAAGATTTTGAAGGATCTCCGCGACTGCCACATGAATGACAACGAACATCACTTCAGCTCCCATGTCCCCGCTTTTTTCACTGCCTCTAACGCTATCGCCATTGAAAGGCTTATCGACTTAAGTTTAAGCAGCCGAGGCATGTTGCTTTTCAAGGATGGACCCAGGCCAGCATGAGTATCTCTTCGATGCAACTGGGATAACTCCTTGCGTCAAGTGCGAGGCGGAGTGGGCTCTCAGGTGGGTCTCAGAGCAAGAGTCAACTTTCACTGAGTGTCACTGTAAGATTCTTCGCAATAACATTAAGGGTATGTTTTCTGCCACTGCCGTCCTCTCATACACTCACCAGTCGCATAGGTATCATGAGGCCTGCTAATCATTGTCTCGCTCGTCGTGGGGGTGTGAAGCATGTTTTGGTCTTATCTATGAGGAGACCTGTGGTATCCTGAAGATTTTCTATGAAAAGTGTGTTGATACTTTGTCGCCCGTCCATTTCTAACCCTCTGCACTTAGGTCATTTGTGACTCAGTAACGAACACAGAACACGCGAAACAAACCACAGTGACAGTGCTCGACGTCGTGTGCGCACCACGGACAGTGGTCTCAACAATTCACCAGTATCCTCCTCAGTCACGGCCCTCTCCTGCATTGTATAGTTCTATTTAACTAGTCACATTATGATTACTATCGGTGTTCATACATAGGAGAGTTTGGTAGAGTAGTTATGTAGCGTAAACAAATAGTTGAATGATAGTTGGTAACATTGTGAAAATGGGGAATTGAAGTTGAATTCAGATGCTAACTAGTGTTTCGGGAGGAAGCATAGTTCACGTTCGATGGACTGGACCTAGGTAGCAACCTCACAATCTTCATAATCGGTGGGCTAAGCAAATCATGTGCAGAAGCGGTTGCAAACGTGCTCAGTATCAAAAGACTGAAGTGTGGCAGGAACGTTCCCTTTTGCAAAAATATGGCCAAGGTCACTGATATAAATTCCTACAATTAACAACACGAAAAAATCTTGAAGAAATCAATATAAATATTTAATCACCTGTTTGTTAAAATTTGAGAATCGGTTAGAAGAGTAGTGCCACATTGTCGGTAAGTTTCATGAAAAGCTTCTTGGAGACCTTTTTGGTGAGTTGAGTGAGAACACAATTAGACCTGCTGCGACGTGAAGAGTGGTTAGCGGAGGTATATGGTGTGACGCGACACAACACGAATCTTCTTGCTGGAAGACAGAATGGCAGTGAGATCTGAGAGATGAGAGGCGCGCGTTGTAGGCTGTAGGATGAATTGGCGCGTTGGATCGGACAAATAGGAAATATGTGATGATTTTAAACAATATTATGTTAACATATACAATAATTAACTTCGGCATATCAATCGGCAGTGTACAAATTTCGGTGTTAGCCGTGATTTTGAAGCTGGCTGATCCCTGTTGCCATATGATGGGACTTTGGCGTCTGGATTGGCCTTCGAGGTGTGATTATTCAGTAGACCAGGAAGTAAAATCGGCTATCGCCTCACCTGCTTGGGCCAGCGTAGAATCTAAAAATAATGAATAAGAAAGACGTTGGTCATAATGGTGGACTGGACAAGCACCTCTTCGAACACTGGAGGTGTTCCCGGTTGAAGGATACAGACTGAAGCTGCTGAAAATGTAGTGCCGATGTCTATTGAGACGACTAACTGCGTTCTAGGTCCTTGGTAAGGTCGTCGATTGGAGCGCATAGATTTGAGAGGTGAGTACGAGGTTGTAAAGTGTGGGATAATTATGGCAACACCGTGTTTTCACAGCTGCCGTCACTTGAGACAGTGTCCAATGTGTGATCTACGCAAAGGTACCTCCATAATTGTCGACACTTGTAAAATAATAAACCTGTTGTGCATCCCACAAACATTGATTAACAAAATCTCAAACTGGTGAACAATAAGAACATCAGCCATCTTGACTGGCCAATTTCATTATTTTATTCTTTCACATATTCTTCAGCTGAGTGGTGTTGCCATGGCTACCAAGACTATTTCACAAAGAAATTGTTTAAATATGCAAATTAAATGTGGTTGATGTTCTTATTGTTCTTCCTTTTGTAATTTTGAGAATTAATGTTTTCGGGATGCACATTCACTTCATTATTTTACAAGCGGCTATGATTAAGGAGGTACATATGTCCTGATTTGTCCTGAATATTTATTGGGCCCTGTCTCAAGTGCGTGATGTCGAAGCTGTCCATTCGCACGTCAGCCCTGCAAATTAGTTTTCACGAGAATCCACACCATTAAATTGTTTATTCTTCATGGGCGACATGTCAAACCCTATATACAAGTATTACTCCTGATACTGGGTTCATCCATTCCTTAGCTCCCTCAGATGTCGCTTCCACAGGCCGATCAACAACTTTGTACGCGCCGATGAGCATAAACGCGTCCGATACGATCTCTGCCAAACCGCCGGGCATCAAGCGAACGGGGTTTGGCGAGATTGGGAAAAGACTGCGATCCTTTGCAGAACCAGCAGATAAAAACTTGTAAAACGCCACACTGAAGGCTCGCCAGGATGGTGATGCTGGTAAGGTTGCGTCTGTTTCTAATAAATGAGAAATGCGAACCCAAAAACTCGAAATTCAATACGAACCGTTGTAAATGAGCTCATGTCCAAGTCCCTGCCACACAGCGCCATAAAGCGGCGTTACTCCCTCGCTAATGCCCCCCTTGTCCCAATCTTTACTCCGAATGACGGCGATCTTCCCACCACTCTCAACAAAAGTTTGAGAAATCAACGCGGTACTCTCGTTCTCTGAGATACAATCTACAGCGTAAGAGATACCGCCGGAGACTTTTCGCACGTCTTCGACCCATGTAGGTGAGCGGTAATCGAAGACGGCCTCGGCTCCCAGTGCGAGGAGTTTAGCGTGGTGCTTAGGGCTGGCGGTAGCGAAGATGCGATATGGCTTTCCCGATGGGGTCCGGAGAAGGCTGGCGAGCTCAATGGTGTATAGACCAAGAGAGGTTGCCGCTGAATAGACGAGGACGCTTGGTGCATCCGTTGCTGGAGGCGCGAAGGTGTATGGGTTAGGAAAGGGTGCTGGAATTTCGAGGCGGATAAACAAGGCCTTTGAGGTTCATTGTTAGCTATGTGGAACCGGCCCATAACATCGTGCATACCTGAGCAGCAGTAAGAGCACAAAGAGGAACTGTTGCAGCCTCATCAAAAGTGATCCTAGCAGGCACATGAATAGCCAGATCCTGCTCTAAGATGGCGTATTCTGCGAATCCTCCGGGATGGGGGGTCACAGAAGTTGCTGGCGAAAAACGTCAGCTTGAAGGGGAACTGTCCATTTGATTTAGCGTACCTCCTTGCAGGAGACCTGCAACGCGATCTCCTACCTGCCACCCCGTCACGCCCGCACCGACCTTATCAACGACTCCTGAGATGTCACTCCCAACAACACGTCCTAGTTCACCAAGGGGGTACTGCGTATACCGAGCGTCCACCAAATTCAAGGCGACAGAGTGCACCTTGACTCTGATATTGGAGTTCAGAGCATCATTGAAATCTTGGATCATATAACTCACCGAATCTCATTATGTCCGGGCTCGGGAACAGCGATATCTGCGACAACGGCAGTCTTGTTTGGTGCGGTGACGAGAGCTTGCATTGTGCGGGCCATTTTTCAGAATGTTCAGGATTTGCCATCGAGTCTTGCCCTTATAGACAAACACATGACGGGCTTAGAAAGACTCAGACCGGGGGAATGAGTAAGGGCGTAAAAAGTGGTAAGGTTCAAGTAAGCTGAAGGTGGAAACAAATTCTGTCAGCTTCCGGTCCAAGCATTTGCCGATTCCGAGGATCAATAGTACAGTTTATTTGCTGGCTTTACAGATGTACAACGATGGAAAAACGGATGGGAACTCAAAGCGAAAAGAATGGGGAAAAAATGAAAGTAAAAGAAAACTTGGGAATACGAGACAAATAAGTTAAGTACAAATACAGCGCTCAAAGCGGGGGAGTTCAAGGGAACTCAACTCACTGTAGAGCAGGGACGATGGGGGAGCAGATCATCGCTCTGGATCCATTTCATCCAATAGCGTGAGCATCTCACGCATGCTAGGGCGGAGGTAATCAATGGAGTCCCAACAGCGATCCAGAGTATAGTATCCCAAAAGACATCCACGTTCTTGACTTGGACCAGGCAACATGCTCCCCTGGTAGGTTTGACTCCTCGAATGATATCCACGGTTACAGCATGGTCGTTTGTTCTGTGAGGATAGGGAAGCTGTCCAGTTGCTACCTGCATGCACACATGAGTCACATATGCAATCGGTTAAGGTAGAAGGCCAGATATACCTTAAGGCACACCGAAGCAAATGCGTACACATCACTAAACGTTGTAATGGGAGGAATTTGCCCATCGTCTTCCACCAGTGCCATAATAAGCTCTGGCGCCATCCACCTGGTTGACCCGGCAAAGAAAGATGTTCCCTTGCTGATGGTCTCGGACATTTCCTTGGAGAGCCCAAAGTCGGTGATGATCGCATATCCACGCTCATGAACCAGAATGTTTCCCTGAGTTGGGCGTCAGCGGGGAGCGGGAAAGGACGAACAAAGGGGCCTGACTCCGTTCAAGTCCCCATGGACAAAGGTAGGCCTGAATGTATGGAGATAGGCAATGGCAGAAGTCACCTGGGCGAGCTACAACAATAGTTAGGTGACGAAATTCGGTGGATAACATGGAATGCGTACAAGTCTTAATCGATTCACGCTCGGGAAATGCTCCAGATAGTTGCAAAGCGTCCCATGTTCGCACCAAGGCGAGACCATGCCAATGCTCTGTGAGAGATGTACTATCCCAAAAAGCTGGGACACGTTGCGATGACATAGACGGTGCCAAGCAATAACCTCCGATTGAAGTCGCTAACGAACCATCATGTCAGCTCCAAACATTCCAGCAAGAGAAGTATTACATACCTTGATGAGCTTCTCTCGAACATTTTGTACCATGACTTGACGCAGGACCTTGATGGCAACCTGAACGATGTCGTGAGCTGATCTCGCACCATAACACCACAAAGATACTTACCGGCCGTGGGCGTCTCTCAATCGGATCGTTCCAAGTACCTTTCCATACGTCAGAGAACGTTCCATGAGCGACAGCCGCATCTCCCTTCACAACTTCATCGGTAAGATCAGTCAAGATCACAGACCCTTTCACGACCAAAGTCTTGGTGACCGTCTCCTGCAAAAACTTTTGTCGACATCGTTACTTCAATCGGCTATAGTCCTGATGCTCTTGGATCCACCTGAACTCGTCGTACGATGATATGGAAAGTGCAACGGTCCGGAGGGAAGAGAAGTAGAGGAAGTGTGGGTAAGTTTGGAGGATCATGGCATTTCGGAGATGGACGTCTGACGCAGATTCCAAGCCAACGTCTATCCAGATCGTTGATCGGCCAGTCTGGCGATGGGTGGAGGTTGATGAGCACTGTTCGTTTGCCGTGCCGAGAATGTAAAGAGCAAGAGTCGGGAAGACGGGGAAAAAGAGATCACAGCATTCCCTGATGAATACAACGACAACGTCAAATCTTCATCTGCACTTTGAGAGAAAGATGGTTAACTCACGGATCCTCGTCGAATCCCTCATCCAAACTACCGAAACAGCAATCTGCAAGAATGAACTCATGGTCCTCGCAAGCAATGCCAACGCAGACCTCTGCTTCGCATAAGCGCCAGCAATACAGGTTCATTACGTCTTGAAAAGTATCCACAGACCACCCTATAGGCAACCGTTGGTCTGAACGCGACCGTATCACCCCATCTGCCCAAGAATGCTCCAAAAAGTCGATGAATCCACGCAAAATGAATCGCTTGCGGAGCTGGGCGATGAGGGGTCTATAAGCATTGAAGATTTCTCCGTCTTTGGGCTCCTCGTAGCCCGACTTCTCAAGGGTGACAACCATCTGGCGGTATGCTGCGCTGTTGCGGAAACGAAGAAAGACAAAGTATTTGTGCAAGGTCTCGACATCCCGTCGATTAAATGGTATGGATCTCTTGGTGTCTTCCTCGTTCCACACAGTTCGGTCCAGAAGATCGGTCACCACCGACCGAGCATCAGACTCAAGCTTCGTAAAGCTTTCCTCGGCTTCTTTGAAGATTTTCTGAGTCTCGACATCAAGAAAGCCGGACCGTCCTTCGCAAGGAGCCCCTCCTGCTTTTCAACTTGACCCTCCTTCCTAAGCTGATCCTCCTCAACCTGGCCCTCGCTGTCAATTTGACCTGCCTTCCCAATCTGACCCTCATTCTGGCTCTCGCTCACAGCCTCCTTTATTTTCTCCAATAACTCCGGCCCAGTCACAGCCGAATTGACATTGGCGTCTGGGCTAGTAGTTGCGTTTGCGTTTGTGTTTGCGAGGGGGAGGAAGTTTTCGGTAGGGCTCGCAGCCGCATTTGAGTTCGTTCTCCCATTCGCGTTCGCGTTCCCGTTGACATGTGCCTGAGAGTTCCTATTCGCATCCACGTTCCCATTCCCACCCCGACCCCCATTCGCACTCCCCCTAACACCCACCCCCGCACCCCTCCCCAAATCTAAACTCGTCGTCTGGACAAGCACGATCCCCGTATCCGCACCCAAACTCTTCTCCCTCCCAGTCCCAACAACCCGAACATTGACAACACTCCCAGCATTCGACCTAAACCCCACATCACCCCCATCCCCGCTACTCCCCACAAACATGGCCAGTCTAGGCGGGGTGGGGGGGACGTTGGCGCGTGTTATGAGGCCAAAGGTGGTGCGGTGGGTGTTGCCTGCCCAAGCGAACTTTGACGGTGCTGCTTGGTGGTTGTAATTCTGATTCTGGAGTGGAGTGGAAGTGGGGTCGAGGGAGAGGGAAAGGGAGGTGGGGTCAACGAACAGAGGAAGGGAATATGGTAAAGGTGAAAGCGAAGAAGAAGCAGGGAGGGAGAGAGAAGCCACACGCTCCAAGATGGGCGGAGCGTCTGGGT